AACAAAGGTGTTTGGATATCTCATCTTTATACGTGGGGTTCACATCAACACGACCGGTGTGATTGGACTCCTTAAATCATATTGGGCATATTTTTATTATATCTAGCTTAATTATAATTAGAACTAATTAATTAAGTCGATTTGGGCTTTATGTTTTAGGCCTTATTATTTGCATATTTGCATATGTTTCTAAGACCATTATGGTCTCGTTTCTATTCTTCGTATGTGATAAGGATAAGTAGAGTCCTTTCGTGATTAGGAGTGACGTGTTAATCTATTTAAAGGCTTGTTTAATTCTATTTCGAATTACACAATAATTTTAAGAGTTAATAAATTTGAGAAGATTTTCTTCCTTTGTTCTTTTAAGAACTAAATGTGACTTATTAAGGATTGAAACCCTTGTGGTGTCTCCGAACTTATCATCCTCTATAGGGTGTGGTGTTCTTCATTCTATTGTAAAATAGCTTCGGTTCTTGCCTCCTTATAGGCAATAGGTCGAGTTTCGCTTATTATAACCTAATTGAGCGCATTCTTGGGGTTGTTTAACAATAAAGGTGTATGGGTCTCTTATCTTTATATGTGGGGTTCATATCAATACGATTGTATGAGATTTCTTCCTCTAGCTATGTAGAATGCTATGGCCCACATGACTTTATCATTCATGTCACACGAGCAATAGCTTTTTTCTTTGTTATTTCATATAGCCATGTGACTTTTCTAAGCCTTATTAAAGTTTTCTCTCTCTTTTATTGGTTTTGGTTTTCTTTGCTTCGATTCATCATTTTTCCTACAAACCTAAAACTCGTCATCTTATTCTTAAATAATATAATATAATCCAATAAACACTAGAAAGTTCAATGTAATAGAGTATCATGCTAATTATGCACTCATCAATTATCTCTCTCTCTTTTTTACTTTTTAATTTTAATTATTACTCAAAAATATTCTCACTCAAAAATCCAAATAAAATTCATAAACTCAAGTGAATATTTTGGAGTATCAATCTCTGTCCTTTGATTACTTTATAACTTATGACTACTACCAACAAACTCTTTTACAAGACGAATAAATTGAAACCAAGATCGATAACCAAAGTTGTCTAAATGGACTTCGCCATCACATTCTTTATCTTCCTTTCTTTCTCTTCATTTATCTTTGCATCTAATTAAAGACCACACAACGATATAAATAAAGTTCGGAATTGAAATAAAAGTTTTAGAAAAAAATAAAGACCGTAAAGCAATATTGGTGAAAACTTCGTATCAATTGCTTGAACAAATGGTAAAAATCATAACTATACCATAAAAAATACATGAACAAATAGTGAAAAATCAAAATAATACCAAATAAATAGTGTGTAATAACCAATTTTGACCCCTTGTTTCATTTTCATCCAAAAACAAAAATAAATAAATAAATAAATAAATAAATGAAGTTGCATAGTTTGTCTTTTTCATGATTTTAAGCATTTTTATAAATTTCTAGGATTTTAATTTCTTAGAATTATTTTCTATTTTTAATTAAAAAATAGAAAAAAAGTTGATTGAGAAGATGATTTGGGATCTAATTGAAAATAATGTAATAAAGTGGACCAAAATAACATTCAATTAGGGATTTAATTAGAAAAAAATAAAAATTAAAGAACTTGATTGAGAATTAATCAATGGAAAATTAAAAGAAATCAAGAGAATATGGATTAAACAATTTCAATTAAAGAGATACTTGGAGAAAAATAATGAAATGTACATTGGAGTTGACAAAAATAATCTAAGAAAGAACCTAAATTGATTTTATCTCAAACTCTAAGAAATCCCTATATAAACATAATTTCACCTCATTTTTAAGGCTCCACAATTATTGCCCTACCCCAAAAACTCTAGCCTCCATCACCCATTTCTCTACTTAAAAAAAAAACCTTAGCCTCCATCTCCTATCTTTCTACAAAAATGACTTAACCTCTATTATTCACCAATCATAAAATAATCTAGTCACAAATACCCATCACCTCTATCGACAAAAAAAATAACCAAAATATAAAAATTTTACTATTCATCATCTCTTTAAAAAATTTATTGGACATGGATCCTAAGATATCAAAAAAAAAAAAAAAAAGAAGAAGAAGATTATACCAAACGTACCCCTATAAGAGGCTATCGACCCGCATCACTCATCAATCCGTAGATCCAATCGGCTTCCTTCGTCAAATTGATCATTCTTTGACCAAAATTATTTTGCTCCACCACCACCAATCAATAGCTCATCACTAGATCCACCATTCTCGACTAGTTAGGGAAGAATATGAAATCGGAGTAAGAAGAAATCGAAGAGAGAATGTCGACAACCCAATTCGATTTTCTACCCCCTAAGATCATTGTTTTCCGGCCCAACCAATAATTCTTACCACCATAAAAGTGTCTCTTATCCTCCTAGAGGTTGTTCCCTCATGAAATCATCAAAAAATCTCATTGGAAATGGCCAAATAGAGGAGAACAAGTTTTCCCGACTCGTTTACCCATTAATCTCAAACCAAGACGAATCTCTCCGATTTGATCAAATCGAACCTCCTAACCATCGTAGAAATGTTCTCTATGGTCCTTTGAGCAACTTGGTAGTCTCTTCTTACCTCGTCGTGGTCAAAATCTTCATCCAAAAGAGAGGGAGAAATAGTTGAACCTTCAACAATGCCCATTTCCCTCCTTCGTCGAGGGCAATGGCCGCCACCACCACCGAATGATTGACGAGAACCTCTTCCGAAGATGCGGACTAGTCGATGCACTCGAAGGACACCGGATGGTGATCAAAGCAAGCGACAACGACATTAGGGGTTTCAAGTGGTAGTTTGGTAATTTTGACATGCATAGGCATTTTGGGCATTTTTCAGCAAGATCGTAAGGGCATTTTAGTCACTTTTTAGTGACCATTTGGTTTGTTTCTCTTACCTATTTTTTTTTATTATCTTGTGATGTTGTTTGGCAATAATCTTAATTTTATTTATTTTAGAAAACTTAGAAATATTTAAGTTGTGAAATTTACTTTAATGTATAGAGTTGATTCGGTTGTGATGTCGGACTAATGAGTCTTCTATTTATTAGGGGCGGACGGTTGTTCGATACATTTTTCTAGTGTTAAAAATGCTAAAAAAATAATAATAATGAGTCAAGTCGAGGTGATTTTATTCAATATTTCATGTAAATATTTTTAGTTAATTAGGTTGTTTATGGACATGCTAATCGAGTCATATTTTAATTCGGATTAGATGGTAAATTGATGAGACTCCCAAATCCCGAGGCTCGATGTTAATTTAATACAATTTGCAAATGAAAAAGATAAAAAATGATTTTGATAATGTTTTTCTCGCAGGTCTTAAAATAAAATATCTTTAGTTTAATTAAGAATGAGAACAAGAAAAAAGAATTTTAACAAGTTTCATATTTAATAAGTACTTATGTTAATCAACTACATTTTAGCAATTAGGTCGTTCTTCGACATACCGGTTATATCGACACTTAAACTAGATTCGATGTTGAATTGATGAGACTCTTGATGTTGAATTGATGAAACTCCCAATGTCGAGTCCGACGATTGATTCAATAAGATGCCACAAAAAAAAAAAAAATTTGGCTTAAATAAGAAACTTGAAAATTAGCTTAGAAATAATTTGACAAAAATAGAAATTTTTAGAAGATAAACTTTAAGATTAAACCGGATGTAATACCTATTCTCGAAAAGAGTGCTTTTGAGTGATTAATAATTTTTCAAAGATATAACTAACTCTTTACCTTAAAATCTCCGAACCAAGTATCAATTTTAAATTTTTTTAATTCTTTTAATACCGGATGATGATTCCAAAACTTGATTTAATTCATATCCCCAGTAAACACAAATAACCACAACAAACAATTTTAGTTAGATAGTTTTTGAAAATCCCTTAGATATCTGATAGCAACACTATGCATATGAAAAAATTACAATAATACCAAATAAATAGTGATTGAATAATAATTATCCCATTTATTTTAAGTTTTCTAGTTAATAAGATAAACAATGAAACTGACGTTCCGTTCATATTAATTCGCCGCACCTGCAAGCCTGCATATAATACATTTCAATTTTACTTGCAGATATTTCTTTACGTCGGTCGAGATGGGCCAAATTAAAATATCTAACTGAATTGATTGCTTCCCTCGTTCGTTACTTAATTAACAAGTCAAGTTCTAAGATCGTTAATAGAATATTAATTAGGAAAAGAAATCACTTGGGAATATGCTCTTTTTTTTTTTTTTTTTTTGGTAATGCATTTGCGTTGTGTTGAAAATATTTTTCAAAATGCGTTTGGTCTGAACAAATATTGATTTTGATATGAAAGGTTTGGACATAATTTAATATTTTTAAGTGTTTTTAGATAGTTTTGATATACTGATATTGAAAATATTAAAAAACACCTAAAAAAACATTAATTTAAGGCTTTTCAGTACAAACATAGTTTTATAAAAATATTTACATCTTATACCGTACACGCAAAATATAGAGGCTCATGTTGACCACCACAGTACGGTCTCCGCCTTGAGTCAAGGATATATATGTGCATTATTGGTGAAGTAACATTGGTCGATGAGGGTTTGAGGTCTAGTGCAGTGCTCCAAATCTTTTTATATGATTTATTGTTTCATAAGCAAAAGAAGGGTTGACTAAAAATTTCTGCATTAATATTGATGAAGTTCACATTGATGGACGAGGGTTTGAGATCACTATACCAAGTGTTTTTATTTGATTTATTTTTTCATAAGCAAAGGGAGGGTTTTATTTTACCGGTTGATTTTTTTTTTTAATTCTGACTGTAAAAAAAAAAAAATCCTTAAATTAATTTGCACATCCATAAATCAGTTTGGACATTAATCTTTTGAAGCTGGAAACATACAAAAAAATTCAGTCTCTGATGGTGAGTGACTGTTATCATATTGTTTGCTATATTGACATGCCAAGACCCCAGTTGGGCGTTCATGGTGGTTGGTAATTGGTGGTAGCTACTCACATATGGAGCTGGAGGCTATAGAATAAGCATGCTTTGTGGTTTTATAGTGTATTAATATTTTAGAGAAAAACATTGGTATATATTTTCATTGCTAATTCTTCTATCTTCTTGCTTCTATGAATATATAGGAAGTTAATGAGGTGAGTAGTGGAATAGAAGGGCACTACGACTGGAGAGGGCAGAAGGCCGATCCTAAAAAGCATGGTGGAGCGAGAGCTGCTAGCGTGGCCTGTGGTAACTATTAATACCATTATCTTATTTTCCTTTTCATGTCAAAATGGCTTCTTTTTTTTATGTTTTGGTGCTCTTTCTTACCAACTCCACCCAGATCTTTGAAACCATGAATCCTGAGCCATAAAGCGTTTCCTAAAGTCAAATCTCTCTGTTTTAAAGCCCAAGATTTACGAATAGTACATCAAGATAGTGGTATTTGATAAAAAAAGATAGTTCTTCTGATCTTTTTAGACAGTTTAGGTCAAGAGAAAAAAAGTTTACATTTAGAGATCAAATAAAAGTACTAGTAATGGTTGAAGCTCAATGATATTCTCCCATCAAAATAAGGGAAGGAATATAGTAGCTGAGTTTCAGTTCAGAAATTGCTACAAAAGAAGTACAAATTTCGTATCAAATAAAAGTAGCTATGAGATGTAGTTTATTGTCAATTAAAACAAACAAAATTGGACACTTCTAACACAACTAAAGTTGTCTGTACAAGAAAGATTGTTGATCATCAATGTAATTTACTTTTGTCCAGTTGTGGAGGTATTAGAGAACATGGTTTTCCTGTCCAATGCCACGAACTTCGTCGCATACTTCATTACGTCAATGCATTACCCTATTGCTGAAGCTGCTAACATGGTGACTAATTTCATGGGAACCTCTTTTCTGCTCACAATATTTGGCGGGTTCATCAGCGACTCTTTCTTCACCAGATTCAGGACTTTCGTTATCTTCTGTATTATAGAGCTCCTGGTATACAGCTGGCCCTGTTACTCCCCTTTCTGTTTTGATCAAGTTAAATGCAACCAGGGAATTTATCAATTTGTTTGTGTCTAATTCATGGAATATATATAGGGTATAATCCTGTTAACAGTTCAAGCTCATGATACTCGATTGCAACCAGCATTACATGAACGACCTTCTCATTCTCAAGCTGCTGTTCTTTTCAGTGGACTTTACGCTATTGCGACAGGAGTCGGTGGAATCAAGGCTGCCTTGCCTGCACATGGTGCTGATCAGATTGATCACAGCAACCAGCGGTCCATTTCCTCATTTTTCAATTGGTTCTTCTTCTCCTTATGCACAGGAGGCCTCTTGGCCTCAACTGTTATGATATGGATTGAAGAGAACCGAGGTTGGAATTTGAGTTTTATAATATCAGTAGGTGTCTTGAGTTTGGCACTTTGCATTTTCATTGCAGGGTTTCCAATTTTTAGGTTCAAACGACCTGATGGTAGTCCAATTACAAGAATCTTTAAGGTAGAAAAGTTTGCAGCAAACATTGATCTATTACTCAGCCAACCTATTGGATGCTAATTATTTAGGCACCTCTTTTCTTGGGCATGTGTTGCATTGTATAGGTATTTGCTTCTGCTTCTCGGAACCGGAAACTCTCATCACAGTCAATGTTGATGAATGATGAAGTTGATGGAAGTTCACACAAAAAGTTCAGGTAGATTTACTTCATCTTTCACAGCTTGGTTTTTAATAGTTGGTTATACTTGAAGTTATGCTTCCTGAAAACCGTTTCAAATCAGTTTAGCGGCATAATTTACTATCAAACTATTAACATTGCGAAACAATAAGACTTATATTATAAATTTGGATTCCAAATTATTAATTTTTTAGTAAATTTTATCTTTTTTGTTTTATATCTAACAATCACGTCATTTTAAGCATTTTTTTTTAGAATTAAAATTAATTATAGAAAAAAAAATAGTAGTTAGCTTTAAGGAAATTTAGATGATTTCCCTGTTTATAGTACCGACTTTTATTGTTAGATAATTAATGATGTGTAATAAATCTATTTACTAAAAAAACAAAAACTGAATTATTAAATTTTTTTTCAAATTTAATTTTAATTATAGTTAGCTTTAATGAAATTTAAATTATTTTTTATTTATAAATTTAAATTTTTTATTGGATAATTAATGATGTGTAATAGAACTGTTTAGTAATTAAAAAATTATTAAAAAATTCAAAATTAATTTTAATTAAAAAAGAAGAATTAAAAAGACAAACTATTTCATTTTATAGTCAACACTTTAACGAACATAGTTCAAATTGATAATAAGTATAATGGTTGCATAATTCTCCTTGGTTTTTTCTTATATTCTTATTGTGTCCCTCTACTTTTTGACTTTTGGCTATACTTGAAGTTATGCTTCCTTAATATAGTTTTGAATGGGTTTAACGGCATAATTTATCTTCAAAACTTTTAGAATCGTGTAAAATAAAATTTTTATTATAAATTTGAGCTATTTAGACCTCAAAATTAATTTTTGGATAAATTTTATCTTTCTTTGATATGTCAAATAGTCAAAGCGTTAATCGTTAATAACTGAAATGTTTAAGGCGACGTCATATTAAGCATTGTAGTTTTTTCTAGTTATAATTAACATAGAGAAAATATATATTTTATAATAGTTAACTTGAAGCAAGTTTAGATGATTTTGTTGTTTAAGGATATAATTTTTGGTGTTGGATAATTAATAATATATAATGGATTCATGTAGTAAATAAAACAAAAATTGAATTATTAATTTTTTGATTTTAATTTTAATTCTAAAAAAATTAATAATATCCACCTCTAATAATAAAGTTTAGATGATTATTTTATTTATGAATTTGACTTTTATTGTTGGATAATTAATGATGTGTAATGGATCAATTTAGTTAAAAAAAAAAAAGAATTATTTAAACATTTTAAACTAATTTTAATTTTTTTTTAAAAAAACTAGAATGGTTATAACAATTTGACTTTCAGTATTTCAGTTAATGGCAAATATTTTGATGGTAAGACAAAACGGATAAGGGTAAAATATATCAAAAATTTAATAGTTTGAATTTCAAAAAGGTTAAATGGATAATATAAACCATGTTTTTCACATGGCTAATAGTTTAGGGGTAAATTATGTCATTAATTAAGCCATTTCAAATCTTTGAATATAATCTATTCTGGACTACATGATACGCAGGTTCCTAGACAAGGCATTATCTGATGACACCATCAGTGCAGTTCAAGTTAAGGATACAAAGACTTTCCTTGGCCTGCTTCCCATCTTTGGTAGCACAATCATGATGAACTGCTGCCTGGCCCAATTACAGACATTTTCGGTGGAACAAGGGAGCATCATGAATAGAAAACTAAACAAATTCCAAATCCCTACCCAGTCATTGACGGTGTTCCCCCTCGTAGTCATGCTTGCTAGCATACCTATATTCGAACATGTTGCAAGCACTTTCAAAAACAACATTTCAGAAAACCGTTACATTTTCAAACCACTCAAGAGGATTGGACTTGGGTTAGCACTAGCATCAGCATCCATGGCTGTGGCTGCTTTTGTTGAGTTTAAGAGACGTGAAGCAGCACAGAATGGCCACACATTGTCTGTGTTTTGGCTAGGGTGGCAATACCTTTTGTTAGGTGTTTCAGATATGTTTACTCTTGAGGGAATGTTTGAATTTTTCTACTCAGAAGCACCTGATAGCATGAGAAGTATTTGCACTGCATTGTCATGGTGCTCTACCTCTATGGGTTTCTTCCTTAGCTCCGTACTAGTGTCTATAACCAACTCTGTTACTGGCAAATTGGGTCATGAATGGCTTGGAGGACCTAATTTGAACCACAACCGCTTGGATCTATTTTACACAATTCTTTGTATTCTCAACTTCTTGAATTTGCTGAATTATATTTACTGGGATAAGAAGTATTAGGGTCTTCGAGAACTTATAGCATCGTTGGTTAGTCCCTGTGCAAGTGGTGGTGGCTCCTTGAAAATGATACTTATGTTTCATTCTTTATCGATGAATAAAACTTTGATGTAAATCTTTAGAAGGGATGAAATCTATACTGTGCTTGGTCTAAGTTCATTGCAATCAAACTAAAATGGTAAACATCACAATGGAGCTTTCAATTATAGTTTGTTTGCCCACAGGGATCCGACGGAAGGTTTTTTTATGACTGAGAAATGATGCTTCTGCCGAAAAAAGGATCCATTCTATGCCCCACGAGTTCATCCTTCTTGTTGCAGCACTTGACAGGCTGAATCAACTGAAAGATGTCTCCCACTACAGCTGGATGATATATCGCTACAATTGAATTAGAAGTCTTAACGGAGTGTAAAAGCTCAATCATATATTGTTTGTGTTACTCTATGTTTTATAGAGCTATACATACAATAAGTTTACAGAGTTTTAACAAACTACAAAAAGATAGAGTAAGACTTCTATTCTTAACTTCTATTACTAGTTGATATCATTAGATGTTTTCTATTCTTGTTGGTATACTTGTTATTGCTTATGTTCAAGAGACTTAGAAGACAAAGGGGATGTAAACAACAATACATGTAGAAGAGGAAGATAATAATATTGAAAGAGACATGGCAAAGTCTTGCGTAACACTCCCCCACAAAGTTACTGTGGTCATTCACCCACAAAGGTTTTTGGTAAGGATGTTAGCTATTTGATTCTAACTAGAAATGAAATGCATCTATAGACTTCCTCTTAAAACCATGTCCCTAACAAAATGAAAATCAATTTTGATGTGCTTAGATTTGAGTATAAAATAAAAGATTAACGACCAAGTATGTAGTTCCAATACTATCACACCAAACTCGTTGGTTTGGATGTCATCACAACCCTAAGATCACCAATGAGAGAAGTGACCCAAGATATTTCAACGACCAAGTCGGCTACTACTTTATACTAAACTTTCATGGAGCTGCGAGCAATAATTTTTTGCTTATAGGACTTCTAAAAGATCAAATTTAGACCAAGATAGATGGGATACCCTCTCGTAGATTTTTTGTCATCCAAAATTCTACCTAGTTAGATTCTGAAAAACTAGACAGACTTATAGGAATGGGATTGTTGAAGATGTAAACCAAGAGTGACAATATGTTTGAGATAACGTAAAATATATTTGACAACAATCAAATACTCATCTTTCGGAGCATGCATGAACTAACATACTTTGTTAACAATATAGCAATATCTAGTCTTGTTAGTGTAGCATATTGAAAAGCTCCTACCATGTACTCGTAAAGTATAACATCTTTATGTTAGTTTAGGTGCCTAAGATCCAACCTTGATTAGATGGTTTGAATTATTGTATAATTGCATTATTTCTTTTATCTATAATAAAAGAAGTCTTTTTATTAATTCTTATTGTTTATATTTATTTTTTGAATATAATTAGATAGAAGTCTATATGGTATACATTTCTATTAACGATTGATTGAAAATATGAGGTAAATATTAATGCACTTAAATGATATCATGAAATGTCTCAAATCATAACATCATCAAGAATAGACATTGACTATATGTCTGTTAGAATTGTAAGTGCTATGCTCATGCTATATGATAACGAGTAGGAGATCTCACACATATTTACATGGTGATGCCAAAACAAGCACTTAGGTGATTTATGTTAGAGAATATATCACTGGACTTGATTTGCCATGAGAACCCATTTGGTTTAGTCCATGAGAATCTCATACGAGATGGGTAAATTTGGTCCTTTGACTTAAAGTCATCACGGTTATCTCATTAGAGGATTTATATACTTTGACACTTGTTTTGACGGACCTAGTAATAGGTTACACTTAGGCGATTTATTGGATGCACTAGGAATCTAATGGAGGTAGATGGATGACTATGATAAGACATGTAATTCCTTATATGCTAAAGGAGTTATCACATTGCACTTTGATATATATCTACTTAAGAAATCTATGACCACAGTAGGAGTACACCAATAGAGTATAGTTGGTTTACTCTATGAGCTAAGACATTTAAGAATCGAAGAAAACTTGTGTGATCATAATGAAATAGATTAATAACTTTGCAATTCGATAAATGTCTACTCAAGAAATCTATGGCCATAGTAGGAGTACACCAATAGAGTATAATTGATTTACTCTAAGACCCAAGGCATTGAAGAATTGAAGAAAACTCATGTGATCATAATCAAACGGACTAATAACCAAGTGCAAGATCACATTATGATAAATTGACATGAGGACTCGAATTGTATGGTAATCATGCTCGTGAAAGGTAATTATAGATTAATTAATCATTCTAGAAAATTAGATAGTCATGATGTCTTGCTAGAAGCCAATCTTGATTTATTTATCAAGAGATAAAAGAAGTGTATTTTATTCTTAATACATTGCCAATATATCTAAGAGCATATTGAGTCATACGTATAAGTTTAAGCATTCATATAATAAAAGAGAAGCAAAGATGTTTGAAAAATTTTTCAATTTTGAAAATTTTCAATTTAAAAAAAGGTTTTTGAAAATGGAAAGCTTCCTAAAATGAAAAGTTTCCTAAAATGAAAGTTTTCTATTTTAGAAATCAGTTTCCTAATGTGGAAGCTAGTTCCAAATTTGGAAGTAATTTACTTAAAAGAAATTAGTTTCCTAATTTAGGTTTAAGAGTAATTTGAAAAATTATTTTCTAATGTGGGCCTCCTAAAAATATCTAACCTAATTTATTTGGATAGTCAAATTAATTAGTAATTAATTAGGCCAAAATATTTTGAGCTAATAGGTCTAATTTAAAAGCCGAAAGATATTTTGATGGAAGGATAAACATGAGCCTTAGAGGATTAGGATTTATTATGGATGTAAGCTTTTTGATCTTATCCTAAAGATTAGGAAGCAATAACCTAAACTCCACATGGAATAAGTTACAACTACTTTCTTATCCTTGGAGCACAAGGAAGCCTCTCCCACATAAATAGAAGGAGAGGTGCGGCAAATGAGTGACAAGGAGTTAGGGCTACATGGCACGGAGGAAAAAGGATAAAAAAATTTTTCTCCCTCCCAAAAACATGCCACCTCTCTCCCTCTCAATTAGGGCTGTTGTAAAATATTCCTAAAGAGATTTCTAAAGTAAAATCACTAAACACATCAAAAAATATAGAGCTAGCACTCTACTAATTTTGAGTGCTTCTTGTGTAGGCGTTTGGACTCGCTTGGATTATCGATAGAGAGAATATTTGGATAACGTTGTTTCTACAAGGGATGAATTTTGCATTACAAGAGGTAATCCTTTATTTAACTTTAATTCATATATATAAGATTAGTTGACTTAGCAAGCATGATCTTAAGAACTTTAGATGAAGGAGAATTTTTATTTTATTTCGCACTTCTATAGGATGCATGATTCTTCAATTGATAGTAAAGCCTCCATTGAGTGTTTGATTGTATGCTTTATTAATTGTGATTAACTATATGAATTAGCAAATCTCGATTGTAAATCTTATGTTTTTAGTATTTTACATATGCTTTAAAACTAAAATTTAGGTTTAAAATAGTGGGGTCACACAAGGCTAACATTGGACATTGGCGCTTGTGCATATAAGTAAGTAGGCTAGCTAGTAGTGCTCGGGTGTATAACGAGTCCATGCTTGCCTAGCGTACGCCAAGCCTCTTGGTAGGCCGGTCATGCGCTAGGCGTATGATAGTCCAATCGTGTGTCCATGGCACGGTAAGTGACGCTAGGTGCATGACGGGCCAAGCCTCACTAGGTAGTCGTGCTAGGAGCATGAAAGGCCGGCTCCCTGGGCTAGGCCGAGCTAGGTCCACGCCGGGTACACAATAGGCCAAGCATGCCTTACGCATGCCGGACTTTCTAGCCAAAGCTAGTTATGCACAAAAGGCAAGACATGCCGAGCATGCTTCGTACATGCTAGGCTTGCTTGGCAAGCAAAGCCGTGCGCTAGGTGATCAACATGGTAAGCATAACTAGGCACGTACATGGGCAAATCCTACAGCGGGTCCGGTGAGCGCGAGAGCCATATAGTAGGCTAGGCACACGTAAGTGCTCTAGGCCGGTGGCCTCTAGCACAACAAGTCCGAGGCTAGCACGAGGCCAGTGCGTGTAAGCGTACCAAGCTAGTGGCTTGGATGTGGAAGCCATTGGGGTCTCAAAGCCTAAGAGCCCATGGACCCAAAGTAGGCTTAAGGTCTAGAAGTCTTTAAATTAGAATTTAGAGAAATTTTGATAATTTTATAAAATGAAAAAACATAGATTTATAATTATGATTAAAATGAAGTATGTTTTATTAGTATGCCATGTATCAATATGATTGAAGCATAGGTGAATAGTATGGATGGGTTGACCTAGTTTATGAGAATGAATGTTTGTAAATTCTTTTAGATAAATAGGGCCTACGTGTCTTGCCTTCTTTATCATTTCATTGTATTTCTCTTTTCATCTTACTCTCCTTAAATGTAACTCGAGGTTTCTTATTCAAATAAATATAAAAGTAGAAGATAGGAATTATAATAGATCCAAAGAGAAGAAGCTAATGAGTGAAGACAATCTCGAAGAATTTATAATAATTTTTCACTTAAGTATTTAATCCACTACTATCCTTATGGCTCGAATGGGCTAATAATAAAAATCCATTATCATTCATCAATCCTTAAACCATGCATGAGATGTATATGTTTATTTTACGATTGATTATTTGTATGCACGATAGGATCTATATGATTGATGACTAGTATACATGTTAGGATGAGACCTACCATATTAAATCTTTCAAATTAAATATCAAGTTAATTGTCTTCTAACGTTATAAGGAAGGAACTCTCTTGGTTATTTTCCACTTATTTAGATAACCCAAGGTCACTTCTTCCTTTTGGAGAATAAATCATAGGTCATGCGATGTCCTTGAACATTTGAGTCTAACTTGAAAT